TACAGTGGTGCCTCGCTTAGCGATGTTAATTCGTTCCAAAAAAATCGCTGCTAAGAGATTTCATCGCTAAGCGAAACATGGTTTCCCATTGAAATGCATTGAAAACCGGATAATCCGTTCCAATAGGAATGAATTGCCGTCCTTAAGCGACGGCAATAGGAAACATTGCTAAGCGAAACGCGGTTCCCCAATTGAAATGCATTGAAACCTATTCAATGCATCTCAATGGGGGGAATACAACAACAAATTTAAAAAGAGTCAGAACAAAGTCAAATTTGGTTAACAAAGGGTTTATTAAGTGCACTTTATGATTTCAAACATTTTAAACAGTAAACTTTAACTTTAAAAATAATAGAAAAACATTTAAAAAACAGCAAACATGAGGCCGTTTAAACCATTGTTAAGAGAAACAGGGGACCCAAAATTGAATCGCTATGCAAAGCATGGTCCCAACCATCGCTAAGTGAAAATCGCCCATAGGGGCCATCACTAAACGAAGCGCAAAAACGCTCCGAAAAAGTCATTGCTAAGCTATTTCATCGCTAAACGGAGCGCCCGTTAAGCGAGGCACCACTGTATATATAATGTATCATTGTGCATCAGATTCAGGTTGCTAAATTTATAACCTTGGTCTGTTTTGCCTCTTTTTTTGTTGTTGATAGCTAACGAAAGAGGGGATGAAGGAGTCCTTATCCATCAGCAGCTGTTGACCAGCAAGTAAAGAGCTGGGTCTAGCATGAGGTTGTCCCCACAGCCATCACCTAGCCTATTTCTTTCCTTTTTTCCTCTTTTTTTTCATCCTGGACTCTGTGATTAATTCGGATTTTACCTTTACTTTTTATGTTTAATGTAAACCGCCTAGAGTAGACACGTTCTAGATGGGCGGTATATAAATCTAATAAACAAACGAACGAACAAACAAACACTGATGTTGTTTGTTTTTTATTTTTTGTTTTGTTTTCTTAATGATCCAATAAAGGTATCACCTGTTCCTGCATTTGTATTGTTTCAAAGACCATACAGCCATTTCCTGATTTTCCAGGGAATGGGGTGCTGCTGACCTGAAAACCCTAGTGTTTGAATCTGTGGTGGGCAATCCCCAGAATTTATTTATTTATTTAGATCCCTCCCCCCTTAAAATGCTATTTTTAAAAGCTCCTTTGGACATTCCAATGGCCAGTATTTGTTTTTAAAATTGGGATGTAGGGAGCAGCTCAAATTGCCTCTCATAGCCCACAGAAGGCAGAAAAGGACTTTCTGAGCAAGTTGTTTTGCAGTGTGAATGAGAGGGTACTGGGGCTTCAGGAGGGTGTCTTTAGGCCCCTGAAGATTGCATGGGGGGGGGGCTGCATATAGCCTGTAGGCATGTGTTGTCAGCACTGTGCTAAACTGTGATGCAAAAGTAGAAGTACAATGAACAATGACCCATCCCAAGTTCCATGTTGTGGAGGAATGGAACGAAATGTTAAATACCTTGGTTTACTGAACAATAGCAAAGCTATTTGTGTACTGTATCTTTCATTGTTGTAAGACAAATAAGCCGGTAGAAAAATAGGGGTGTTACTCTTGTGGATGCATCTTTTAATTGAAAAGGGCTTTGCTGTGTTTGTTCTTTGGGGAGTAGATAAAAGAGAGATTTATTGGAGAACTTTATTTGGGTTTGAGGAGCCGTTTGTCCAAGTGCTGCGCCTTATTAATAGCCCTTTGTTCTTGTTGCTAACAGTCATACAGGGATTTTTGAGTGGGATACTCATTTTCTTCCAAGTTCTATCAGTGAAGTAATCATTTTTGGCTTAAGACCAGCTGCCATTTGCTTGCTTTATGAAAATATAACACCCGCATCCTACTGAA